ATTAAATAAACATTTCTTATTATTCTTATTCAGAAGTACTATTTCAAATGATTAGCATACTTGTTCAACAGGCTAAATTAAATGAACAGTAATCTGAGAAAAAGTTTGCTTTTCTTATTAGACACTATACTGAATACTTTCAACATTACTTTTTTCATACATTAATTTATTTGTTTCCATTTTTAAAAGGCCAGGAAACAATTGTGAGGCAGTTGTAATAGAGAGGCTAAGCACAGACTTCAAATCCTGCTTCTTCTATTTACCTGCTGTGTGACCTTGGCTATATTGCTTAACATTTCTGTGTATCACTCTTTGTAAAATGGATGCTTATCTTACAAACCAATTGTCAGAATTAATAAATTAACATATATGACTTGTTTAGAAGCATGCTTGGAAAATAATAGACCTCAACACATGTCAAGATAATTTCTAGGAAGCTTGCCTTAAGGAAGCTTGCATTAAGATGCACATTTGGGAGCTAATAGATTTGTTTGAATCTAGAATTCAGGGCTTTAACCAAAAGAAAGAAAAAAGCTTTTTATTTCCTAGCATACATTTTATCCATATAGGTAAAACAACAGTAAATAGGTAAGATTTAGAAATCATATGTTAAAATTATATTTCTCTAAACGAAATTCAAGAATAGCTTGCAATTGATAATGTCATTTCATATATGATCACATCTTATCTCTCAGGGGACAAGCTGCTAGACAGACGAAAGGACCATACTTATAATTATTCTTATAATTACTATTATATATTATTATTAATTGGAACATAATGCATTACTCTGAATAGAGTATTCGATGATTCTTCTATTTCTACCTAAAACACACCTTGCTCAGAAAAGGATTCAAGAAGTATCTTGTTAATGGTGCCCTTTTCTATGATGATATGAGTCCATTTTGAGATTGCTTTTTTGTATGTCTCTTAATATTCATGAATAAATATAAATCTGTATTTATTTATTCTTGGTATATTACTAGACAGTTTGCAGGTTCAACTTCATGATATGATTTGGGATAGGAGAGGAATTCAATGCTTACAATCAACCAAAGAGTGTTTAATCAGTACCTCCCAAAGCCAGTTAAGCATCTGCCATCGGCTCAGGTTTTGATCTCAGGGTCCTGGGATAGAGCCCAGCAGAGCGGGCTCCCTGCTCAGTGGGGAGTCTGCTTCTTCCTCGCCCTCTGTCCCTCCCAGCCCCCTGCTCCTGTGTGCTCTCTCTCTCAAATAAATAAATAAAATCTTTTAAAAAAGGAATTCATCTATATGCTCCTTGAAATGTGATTACTCTTCTAAACTTAGTATTTCTAGTTTCAGAGACTTCCTTGAGAGACTGATTTGATTTTACTCTTGCTTACAAAGATAGTACCACAATTTATTGGCCACTATGCCAAACTCCTTGTTTGCATTTTTCTACTTAATCCCTTCACTGTGGTTTTCACTGTGATTGTCCACAATTTACAGGGAAGGAAATGGAGGTCACAAAGGTGATGTCACCTGTTCAAGGTCACACAGCCATGAGTACATTGAAGAGCCAGAATGAAATTTAGCAGGTGTGACTCCACCCACCCACAGCAGCCAGAACTCTGCTCGCTCCTTTCCACTACCTTGAAGAGTCTTTTTTAGCCTGGGCTGAAGTCTAAGGCTTTTAAATTTTATTTACCTGCATTTAGTCCAGACTCTTTCCTTACAGGGTTTGGACAACCCAGTCTTCATTTCCCACTTACATGGTAGAAGTCTTTTGTGGCCTTACATATCCTCATCATATTTTGGCTAGCATTAGTTTCTTGTTCATATACTTTGACATGTGATAAATTAATATATATTTTGCATAAAATCATGCACCCTCTTTCCAAAGGTCTTGCCATTTAGAAATGCAAAAGTAAAAAAAAAAAAAAAAAGACAATGATTTGCTTATTCCTTAGAAAACGGTTGCTATCCAAAATTAACAAGGCTTTTCAAGATGGCTGTTTAATAGTTGCTAAAACAATATAAAATTTCATTTAACATCTGTAGTTCAGAACTATAATATCACATGTTCATATTTTTTTTTTACCTTTCAATAATTGTGGCTAGCACGCATATGTTTCAGGCTAAAGGAGTATATGAAATGTCAAATAGATCTATATCAATCCTATGGCTTAGAGGAAACTTCTTTTTAAATACCCTGAAACTTTTACGGAGGAACTCCATGTCACCAAAGATTACATCAACAAAACTTTCAAAGAAATAGTCTCTTTGGGAAAGAGCTCATTTTTAATCTTCAGCTGTGGTTCTGTTAACTCCCCCAGTTGAAATAAATTGAAGTGGTTACCACCTTTTTTATTACAAAAAGGAAGTGGTTCTTAACCTTGGCTGCATATTTAAATTTCATGGGATAGATTTAAAAAATAAACTACCCTTGCCTGGACCCCATGACCGTTTGGAGTTCATCAGGGGTGTAGTGTGGGCAACACTTTATCGAAGTGCTTCTAATGAGCAGTTAGAGGTGAGAGGCATGGGAAAAAGTCAAAGGGGAGGAAAGCCCATCTTCTCCTCACCAGCACCAAGTGTCACAGAGTTCATTACCTTCTTGTTACTTTATACACCTTAAAACTGCCTTTAAAAACCTTCTGGCATGAAATTCTTCTAATATTTTGCCATGACACTTGAAAAGAGCATGTAACTTTAAGATTAAGAAAGACGTGCTGCAAGGACAGGCTAGTTCTGATCGGAAAACCAAAGGGTCTGGATTCTGGGGAAACTTCACTTCCCATTGATTAACCTTGAAGAAAGTGGACAGCCTCTCTGGTCTTCAAATTTGTTCCCTAGTCTCATGTCACCTTTCAAGTTCTTGCAGTCATCAGTGGTTTGTCTGAGATCACTCAAAGTCCCACAGTTTTTAATCATCTGAGAGAATTTTATTTTATTTAATGTTCCTAAAGGGATTCTTAAAAAAAAGTAATGAATGCTATCATTTCCTTGAAACTTGATGAATTTTCCTGTAAGCCAAAATTTTTCATACCTCTGGAAAAGGAAACTTCTATTCTTACTTTCATATAAACTCCCTCTTCAGTATTCAGGGAAGTTGTTTCCCGCTGAAGCCCCAAAAGCCCTTAATCTTCCTACTCATTGGGGCACAGCTGACCCAGCCAAGGAGCTATTCTCTCTGGTCCTGCCATATATACGGAAGCCTCAAATCCGTGCTCTATGTTCTTGGGATAAATTTCAACTCCTGTGTCATTCTTGGTCACCATGAATTTCCTTCATATCTTCAGCTAACTATGGCATAGAACATCTAACTCTTTTTTTTTCCCCCACAAGACTGTCAATATTTTCAATTCCCTTCTCAAAATAGGACCTTCCCAAGATTTTCTACATGTATAGTCATCCCTGAGTGCTTCAGAGGTCATAGTCAAAAGGTCAAGTAGTTTATTTGTCAATTTTCTTCATAGATGTTTACATAGTCCATATGAAAATAGCAGTAAGTCACTCTTTATTACTTATATTACACTTCTCAAATTTGCTTGCTAAAGAAGAACAGGAATAGGCATTTCTCATGAGGAATGCACATGAGATGAAATGTACTTGGCAGTAAGCAACTGAGAAAACAGCCAATGATGTCATCTATGCATTGCATCTGGTCACAAATACTAGTGACATAATTTATAATAACCTTTTACTTATTGAAAATTGCCCGGACTCCTGCTGTGCTGTTCCTTTAGAAAAGCTGGTTGGTATGTAGTGTTTAATTAAATATTTTAAAGCCATCCTTTTGCAGGCCTGTTCCACTTTAGCTAAAGTTATGACAGCTTGTCTCTGTTGGTTTAAAAAAAGAAGGCATAGTTTATTGCCTGCTTCTCTCGTGCGTGCGCGTGCGCGCGCATGCGCATGAGGTTACAGAATATTAGTGTTAAGTAAAATAGCCTATTTTAGAGATGTGTGAAGGGTAAGTTTGAATGTGCTGTTAATTTAACGTGTTGTCAGTGTACATAGTCTAGACATGAAAAGGAATAATTTGATGAAAACATCCATGTTTTGTATTATAATTATTTTAGCAATGATGAAGTATTATTATTGGAATAGAACAACGTTTTTTCCTTCTCTGCTGCTTTTTTTTTTTTTTTTTGTATTATGGAAACTTCACAATTTGAAAGAGGCCGCCGCATAACTATAGTCATCTTATCTATATCACCTAAGCGAATTGCTTTTTCCGCTATCTAATTTATACAAAGAACATCTCCTTGCTCGGTATTATAAACCATTTTATTATTTTCTTACACTTGTTTATTAATCATTTTGCATGTCATCCTTTGTCATCAGGAGGGAAAAAACACGTTCAATTTTTTCTTTCTTTTTCCCCCCTCTTATGCGCTATTTTAAGATTGAAGACCTACATAACAAGGGGGATGAAATCTTGCTTGAAATAGAGACAAATTATTCTCAACAAATGAAATTGTAAATTTACATTTCATTTTCTTGCACAAAAATTCTTTTAATTCAATCTTGGAAAAACACACACATTTTACAGATATGACCTATAAATTTTTCCTTTGACTTTCGTGAGTGTTTGGCAATAGTTCCCAGATTTTGCCAACAATTTTAAAAAGACTGCTTTAATGATCTAATTATTACAATTTGGTAATTAGCTAGAATAGCATTTCAAAGTGCTATTGATATGACTTGTTTGAGCTAACGAGTATTTTAGAAAATAGACTAGAGTCACAGAGATCCTGGTTTAGTTCTTGTCTTCACGTTTACACTTAAACTTTGGACTCCTGAGACATGCTGCTTTTGCGGTTCTGTCCCAATCCAGAATTCTCAAACATCCCTGACAGCTAAACTAGAATAATCTTTGGGAAAATCTCCCCTCAAGTTCCTATGTTTTCAGTCATTAACAAAAAAGAAAGAAAAATGTTAAAGGTAGCGAGAACCGTCCAGTGCTTACAGCTGGTTTCAGCAATTTCAACTTGCGCAAGACCCGTGTTTGTGAAAGCAACTCAAGAATCTTTGAACAGGATGTAATCAACCTCCGATCTGCTGAGAAACACTGCAAAAATGATTTCCCCTGCCAAAAATAATAATGTCGTTTACAAGCAGCTCTTCCATGTCTGAGGAAGAACTAGCCCCACGTGTGAGTTTATGCAGGCTTCAGAGGAGCTAGCAAGGAAAAGGGCAAATCCTGCCAATCCCATGCTAAAATACCCCGTATCAGAACCTGAGGGAAGCTGTGGCCCATTCCAAAGGTGCTGGCAACATCCAGGAAGATTCATATCCACAAAAATCCAAACGGTAAGTGACCCCAGACAAAGGGATTATAATTGGCGGCCATTCTGTGCTGTCCCCTTCCCTCTGTAACCAAGCTGCCCTGTTTTGTGAAGGCAGAGCTGTCAAATATCTTAGTCACCAGCCCCAACCCAAATCTTTCTTTCTTTTTTTTTCTTTCTTTCCTTTTTTTTTTTCCCCCCCAAAATGTCATCTGGCAGCTTCCCTTAAAGGACATCAAGAGCTCTCGGGAGGGAATATTCCTGAATGATCCTTTAGATAAGTTTCATCCCAAAAAGCCCTGCACCTACCTCTCTGTCAAGTCTGGGCTGTTCAGTCCGCATGGGCTGGATGTGAAAAAAGACCCGGGATGATGGCTTCTCCGAATTTACCAGAAAGAAAGGACCTGGGATGCTTGTCCTTTAAGTGTCTCTAAACATGGTTTGCATAGCTGGATCTCTGCTTATCTGTGCCTTTCGGCTTTCGCTTCCATACATGGATCTGTTCCCAACAGTAACTGCAAGCTGTGGAAAAGCAGCTATCTGGCAGCAACCCGCTTCATCCAACACATGGACGATAAAAATACACATCTAGAGATCCTTCCAGCCAGGCCCATTTCCCGCCCCGCCGTCCTGCCACGATGCCTTTTTGGAAAGATGCTTTCAGATTGGCATTTCTACTCCCCAGACGTTTGGAACATAACCGCTCTCCCCCTGATTCCCACATAGAGCTTTTAGGATGTGGGTTTGCTTAGCTTTATGAAAACAGAGGCACAGTTACAGTTCCTGACCGGGATTTTCATGCTTAAAGATTTTAGCGATAAGATACGTACAGGACCTGCACAAGGTTTAGTGAATGAATGAACATATCAATGAGCGGCTGAACAAATGGACAGTGTGTGTGAATGAATGCATACATATGTAATGCATTTATTTAGTTAAGAATAGTTGTTAACACTCTGAAATCTTTGTCTTAAGGATTGGGTAGGAGCAGAAGGTCAAAGTAATCAAAATCGCTAAGACAGGAGAGGCCAGCCTCTTCCTTAAACAGCTTCTCATTTAGAATATAGCAGCAGTAAGCTACCATCTAGCATATAGCGTGAGATTTAGAAAACTTCTTTTAATGTTAAAGAATGTAAACTTGAATGGAATACTAATTGCTACATTTGTTAACTGTGGCTGATACTTTAAATGTGACCTAAATTTTAAGGATAGAAGTTGGAGAAGGAGAAATTCGGCTCTGGCTAATAAAGATATTGGTGAGAGTTACTCCTTCAGAGGGCGGTGGAAACTTCACTTAGCCTTCTTGTTCCTGGAAATTGGGTTTTTCTGTCTTAAAATTTCTCTCTCTTTCTCTTTCTCTTTTTCTTTCCCCTGTCTGTTGTTACTCTTGTGTGTGTGTATGTGTGTGTACATATATATAAAAGAGAGAGAGAATTTCCAAGTAACATTTTTCTGTTCACCATTTTTTTTGAGTCATGTTAAAACTCTTACAGAGTCTCTTGTTTGAAGAAGAAGAAATTTGAGGTATACAAGTTTAATTCATTTTTGCATACTGAAATGGAACTAATTTGCTTAAAACATTCCAGAGGAAAAGGGAAAGGATAGGAGAAACACGGTTGGCAAAATGATAATCGTCGCAGGTGGTTGAGTGCTCAATAGGGGACTCATTATATTACCGTCTCTACTTTGTGTATGTTTTTAAAATTAGAGACCCCAGGGAATAAAGTGAGGGTTTCAGAGGGGAGGGGGTGGGGGAATGGGGTAACAGGGTGATGGGTATTAAGGAGGGCATGTGGTGTGATGAGCACTGGATGTTATACACAATCACTGAACACTATATCAAAAATTAATGATGTACATTACATACAGTGGCTAACTGAACAAAATAAAAAAAGAGATTACTTAAAAATAAAATCTTAAAAAAGTAAAGAGAAGAGAGAAGAGTGCAAGATAGATCTATTAATGGTGAGTTTGAGGAATTCTAGATTTGCATAATCTTTGTGCAAAGCACTAAGGCCAGAACAAGAAGGGGCAAGTTGTTTGTTTTTCTTTCATTCAGAATATTCTGACATTCAAACCTTCCCTTCTTCCCCTTCAATCAGACATACCTATGCGTGTGTATATACATACATATATTCCATATAATAATGTATCTTATGTTGTATATATCTATACAATGTATTATATATATGCATAATAATATATTATCTATATAATATATATCCTATATAACAATAAGGTGTAACTAAGGAAAATTAAGATATGGTATTTTAAAAGTTGACCAAATGTAGTTTAGTGATGGACATGACAGATGGTGACTGTACCCACAAGCTGTTCAGGACCCTTTTTTCCCTTCCTTTTTTCTGCTTTAGAAATCTGAATGGGGGGCTGGGTAGCACCTGGGTGGCTCAGTCAGTGAAGCATCTGCCTGTGGCTCAGGTCATGATTCCAGGGTCCTGGGATTGAGCCCTGCATTGGGCTTTCGGTTCAGCGGGGAACCTTCTTCTCCCTCTCCGTGTGCTCAGTTGCTCTCATTCTCTCTCTCTCTGTCTCTCTTTCAAATAAATAAATAAATAAATAAAATCTTAAAAAGAAAAGAAAGAAATCCTAAAAGGAAACTCTTTTTTTTTTTTTTTTCCTTATTTCCCCCGCACTGTCCCTTACAGCTAGGGACAACCATGTAACAGGTTTCTGGCCACATAGGTGTAAACAAGAATCCCCTGAGTGACTTCAGGAAAATGTTTATTTATTAAAAAGGGACAGATTCAGCTTTTGCCCCCTTTGGCCCTATACCTCTTCCATCTGTTTCTTTCTCAGACAACAGGCTTGACTTCTGAAATTGTAGCAGCTTCTCAGTGGGCAGGAGGGGACAAGGAGGAGGACAAAGGCCTGTGAGATGAGGAAGCTGGAGCAGACAGACAGATAGAATTTCAGTTCTTGACAGTGTCACTGAATCGCTGTAACAATGAACTACCCACCCCTGGACTTCTTGTTCTTCGAGAAAAAGAAAACCAGAATTAATACAAAAAGTGGATTTCATCCATTTTGAGAGATGAGGCTTTTGTGGAGAGTTCTTGGGGTTTTTTTGTTTGTTTGTTTTTGTTTGTTTTTCGGTTCCACGTATTTTGATGGATGATGGTAACATTCAAAATCAAATTCTGATTTTTCCCCCTCTGCCCTCAGCACTGTTCAATCCTTCCCCAAACCATTTAGGATAAAATATAAATTTCTTAGCTCAGTTCTCAGATATGTTTCAAAATTTATTTGCAGTGCAGATCTTCATGTCATCTCTGGTCACCACCCACCAAGGTCCTTTCATTTCCCCAGCCTTGAGTGACGGCCGTGTGTGTGCAGCCTGGCCAGGTAGAAAGCCATGGTTTTCCTCAGACTTCTTGTGCTATTTTCCTGTGACTTTTCTTTCTGCACAGAGCACTCTTCATTCTCCTTGAATTTCAAGGCTCAGGTCAGCAGTTTTTTCCTCTGGGGAGAGGACCCTAAACCTTCCCATGTTGTTCAGGTTCTGGAGCACACATCGTACAACCTTTCCACTCTACCATTGTGGGGTACCTGCTATTTCATTGGTTTGCTTTTCGACTCCGTTTCAAGTTCTGTACAGTCAGAGAACAGATTTCATTTGTACTTGTATTATTAGGACTTAGCATACAATAGGTATTCAATACAATATTTAAGTGAATAAATGACAAAATAAGTGGATCGGCTAATTATTCTTGATCAGAAAGATAAAGAAAGATGTCATGGATCCATTGCATGGCTTTGAATGAGACTCCTCGGTCTCGAAGCAGGGTTAGAATTGAGACAGGCATGGACCAAGTAATGAGTACATATGTCCTGAGTTCCTGTGTGAATAAATGGGTGAATGAGAAAGCAGGAATTCCCAGTGGACAGAGTTTGAATCATTGCCAAGAAACAAGAATCAAGAAGTCAAGCAAGAATTTGTTTGACTCATTGTGAGGAGCCCATGTTGGCTGAGGCTTGGAATGGACAAAACCCGAAGGACCTCTAGTGACAGGCTTAGCATGTTGGTTTTGGGTAAGTTAAAGGGAGAGTTTGGGCACAATCAAAATTGTGATTTTTTTTTTTTTTAATGAGATTTAATTTTCCTTCTCGATGAGACTTGATAATAGAATACTACAGCTATCTTGAAAGCAAGTGTTTACTGAGACAAGCAGGTGGGTGGGTTCTTACTCGGCAAGAAAATTCTTAATGTCTTCTTTGTTTCTAAAGGTACATCTTACTTTCTAAGTCAACTATTGAATACATTAGAAGAGGAGAAGTAAGAGGAGGAGAGGTATGATCTCCCATCAGAATGAAGTGTTGGGGCTCCACCTAGTTTAAAAATTAGTCTGCCATGCTTATATGATCACTTGTATTTTAAATTCTGCCCAGAGCATTGAAAAGCAGAATCGTTGTGCTCAACATAACAGACTGCATCTAGAAGGTCTCTTAATGTAATTCTAATAACCCTATATAAGAGGAATATTTAATTCATTTGGTATTTTCATTGTTAAAATATTTGATTATTTGCATCATATATCACATGTCAAAACATATATCATATACATGATTTGGTGCTTTGAAGTCATCAATAGCACTTTGGCTCTAACTGAGCTGGCGATATCCAGGGAGATGATTTTAGATAAATTCGTCTCATTTTGACTCTCTTCATAGGGCTTGATTTTGCTCTTCTCTGCCATTTGCAAATGATAGGCCCTCTTGCCTCTGTTTCTTTCTAAACTCATGTCCCATAATCTGCAAGAAAAATTAAAAAAAAATTTTTGTCTTCCAATGTATGAGCCCTTGAACAACAGAATAGAAAGCCCAGACTGGTCTCATATTCTCTGGGCTTTAAGTTCTCAAGCTCTTCATAGGTGTCCAGTGATATTCCTTTGACTTTATATGGAACTTAAGGACCTCCCTCCAGGAGAAAGCACACAAGTTGGGATAGCCATAGTTACTTGAGAGTTTAATTCTATATCTCATTAAAAAACAAAACAAAACAAAACAAAGGAAAACAAGATGTAACAGGATTCAATTATTTTTGTTCTTTATTGAAACTGTAGATTCTCCTTTGAAACTGGATTGGAATATTCTTGACTCCAGGCCATCTAATCTATTTATAGTACCTAATTTTGATATTGTATTCCCAAATAAATTCCCAAGTAATGTTTCTAAATAAATAAATTTTTAAAAAAATATTAAGGACATTAATCTACTCAGATTCTGCTGTTATTAGGTGTGGTTTTTTTTGTCATCAGATACTATTTTAAAAATCTGTGTTTAAAAACCTTTACTAATTATAATAGTGTATCATTTAAAGTCTATTCTATCTTATTCTATCTTCCCATGTAGATAGCCTAGTTAACCATGATGATGTCCTCGGGCTTATCTCTATAGAGCAGGCAGAGACATTAACATACAATGAAGAAGTTTTTTGTTTCGTTTTTGCAAATGTTTCATTCAGCTATGGGCAGAGTTTGAAGAGATGAGCTGAAACAAGGGTAGAAATTTCAACATATTTTTATTGTAATTGCTGGACACCTGAGTAAAGAGAAAATGTTGTAAAGCCATAGCATTCTGTCCTTCTGGGACCCCAGCAAACATGTTTGAAGGAGAGGGTGATTTAAAGGCACCGATGAACCAGGAATCATCCTGTCAGGCTAATAGGAGGCAGACTTAGCAAGGTCAGTGAAGCTGGTATGGACTTGGAAGGACTGAGCTGTGAGACTGTAGGAAGCATTTCTCCAAACACACTCAACCATTGGTCCAAAGAAAAGTCAAGAGACTTTGCAAAAGTACATTACTATGCATTTCTGAGGAACTAACCATGTCCAGAGTCTCACACAGCCACTGGAAGCCATAAAGTCTTGTATACGTCATGTAAGCCAGTCACAGAAAAAAGCGTGGCAAGTGTTTAGAAAAATGTCCAGACATTGCAGGGAGATCTATATTTCTCCAAACCTGAGCTTATTTTATTTGCAATACTTTAGAACTACCTACAAGCTACTTTGATGAGATTGCTTTCTAAAGGCAACTAGTTCAGTAAATCTCTCTGCTTTCCTCCAGTCTTTTCATCCTGCATGTGAAATTTCAACCATGATGGATGGAGAGTCTCTGGTCCAAAATCTCACCAAGTTTCTTATCCACAGATACAGGTAAGTGGAAATGGCAGTTCTCCAACTCCAGCATTACTCATTGTGATTGGTTTTTAACTCATTGCAGAGTCAAATAACACTGGTAAGTGTAATAAGATGTTTCAAAATATTTCTGTGCTTGTTCATCTGCTTGGAGGACACAAAGAGGCAAATCTTAAAGCAATGTGTTCTGATCAAGAAACAGCTGGCAATGACAGGAGCCTGATAGGGAGCAATCAAGAATGGGAGGTTGATTTTGAATGAGATGTTTGTCCAACTGTGAGATTGAGTGATTGCAGCTGAGAATAAGGGCAAACACAATCGCCAGTGGCTCCAGGTATGAAGTTATTGAAACCAGACAGGTTTCATATCTTTATCTGTTGCCACGTTCACATTTCACCCATAGATTGCAAGACAGTGGAGGAGGAGAAAATTGCTTCAGTGTATTCTTATTCTTTTTTTTTTTTTAACATTTTATTTATTTATTTGACAGACAAAGATCACAAGCAGACAGAGGCAGGCAGAGAGAGAGGAGGAAGCAGGCTCCCTGCTGAGCAGAGAGCCCGATGTGGGGCTCGATCCCAGGACTCTGGGATCATGACCTGAGCTGAAGGCAGAGGCTTTAACCCATTGAGCCACCCAGGGGCCCAGTGTATTCTTATTCTTAATGACAGCTTCTGAGCTGTCATGATTTGAATTTACAATGACAAAAAAGCTCCTTCAGAAACAAGTAACAATATATTCCAAAGCCAAATTATGTATGGGACAGGTAAGACCATTAAATGGTCTTGGGTCTTGGATATACATTGGCTCTGTAGCCTGCCATCAATTTTTATATTGGTTGTGCTCTGTTTTCTTGACTTGTATAGCTATGGGCAAGTCATTTCATTCTTCCTGGTTCCTAACAATGTCATTATTTTATTGAGATAGATCAAAGGAGATCAAAGGAGCTGGTCAATAAATATGTGCTGTTGACTAATCTGTAATTGCAACATTTTATGTTTGGATGACACTTGAGTTTGGGAAATACTTTAGCATGCCCAATTTCATTAAACTTCACTTCAACACCAATATATTGTCTGAAACGTGTGTCTCTTTAAGCCTCATTACTTCAAGGTCATACTTTCTTTATCACACAAATACATCACAGACACATAAAGAAAGACACATAGCCATGTAAGAAAAATTCCCCAAACTTGGGGCACCTGAGTGGCTTAGTTTCTTAAGTGTCTGCTTCAGCTCAGGTTTTGGTCTCAGTGTCCTGAGATGAGCCCCAAGTTGTCTCTGGTTCTTGGAGTCTGCTTCTCCCCCTCCCTTTCCCCCTCCCCTGCTCTTGTATGCACTCTCTCTCTCTGAAATAAATAAATAAAATTTTTAAAAAATTAAAAGTAATAGTCCCCAAACTTACGCTTCATGCTTTGTTTAGTATATCTAACAACATAATTTTTTAAATAAAAATCTTTCTCCTGCTTGTATTACAAAAATGACCACTTGATGATTAATAAATCTTTCTTTTCTTTCTTTCTGTAAGGCCTAGAGGGAGCCAATAACCACATGGAATACAAACAGGAATGAAATAAAGTTCTTGACCTCAATGAGATTGAAATTCACTTACTTCTTCACCCAGTCCTTCCCAACCAGCATTCTCATTAGACAACCTCAGAAAAAGAAAAAAGAAGAAGAAGAAAAAAAAAAAAAAAACCCACTTATTTTAGAACCTTGGGAGTCAAGCTGGAGCCTGGGCAGCCTTTCCACTTGTTGGAACTCCTTTGTCGATGCTCAGATGTACAACGCTCTTTTTCATCTGGTTGCTTTTATAATGCAAAGGGCAGAGGCAAATTATTTGGAGTACAATCAGTGGGTCCAGGGTATTGAAACACTCCTCTTCATGACAATGCCAAGTTACTTTATTTGTTCATGAAGCACTTGAAAAATGAGAAAGAGCCTTCAAGAGAGAGCAGAGAACAAGTTGGCTCCCAATGCTTTCATTACCAAAAGAGGGTGTTAAAATGCATAGAAATGTTAAATCTCTCCTAAAAAAAAAAAAAAAAAAATCAATGAATGACACATTCAGTTAGAGCTCACTCAACCCTGATTTCACAATCACAGGAGATCTTAACAGGGAAATGGTTCGGAAGTATAAAAAGTATTTTAATTTCACCTGCTGAGTGTTAATGCATTTGAAACATTAGAGGGGAAGCTGTTGAAGGGAAATAGATTATCTGTACCGCCACCTACACTCTCTCAAACACAAATGATAATGTATGTGTATGGAAGGAAGTCTGTTCTGAGGAACACTACTTTTACTGAAATGGGTGTGTAGGCTTAAAAAATGTCAGGTCTGACCATGAGACAGAAGTGTAACACCACTTGTTGGTATTCAGAAGGCATTTTTCTTTTGAGGCTCCCAAAGCAATTTATGGGTGTAACTCAATCTTTGTTGTTGTTATTTGGAATCTGTTAAGATTGGTTACATGTGCTTTCATGCATCTAGCAACCTGGAAAGTGACCAGGTCTCAGGGTACATGAACCTTTTAGAGATTTAACTTCTTGTTAAGCCTGGCATACAAGAAGGTAATGACCCCTAAACCGAGGTGACCCATGGGCAGTGTCTTCATGGACGGTTACTCCATGGCTGTAGGGACGTCATTCAGAGCCCCAACCCCAACATGGCCACAGTAGCGTAATGCTCTGCCTAGTGACAGATTAAAAGTCCCAGCTCCTTTGAAGGTCCAGTGTCCACACCGAGAAATGGCAGAGGGTTTGTTCCAAAATGAAACTCTGGTGAAAAGGCTGCATCGGACTTTCTAACATCATCACAATATTTTAATTTAAAAAAATGTTCTATTTAGAACATTTATGTTTCACATCAATATAGTTATTTTGGGATTGAGATGCCATACTAGAGAACCATTGGGTCCTTATGATATTAGGATTTATGCAAGAAAGAGCACATTGTTGCCATGGGGATCAGTAAATAGTCTTGATCTGAGACACTAGCTCCCATTGCCAAGACATGGGTGGGAGAAGGTGGTTCCCACAGACTCTGTTTGCTCTAGACTAAAAATATAGCATGATTTCTATTAAAGGGCAATTAAAAAAAATTCTCGGTGATGTAGCCTAAAAGAAGCATACCCTATCATTTTCAGAACAATTAAGCAGTGAGCTCACTATCTAATACTTCAAGATTGTATTTGTATGTGATATTAATTATGTTCATTCTCTGTCACATCAAAGGTGGTGTTGCACCAGCAGCTTTTCTTAGTTCTGTTCACAGGGTCTTAAAAAAGAAACGGTTTATGGAGATACATGTATTAGAGACATAAATTACTTCCTTTTAAGGGTTACAATATAAACTTAGCACTTTGAAGTTAACTCTTTAAAGTCATCGTTTGGCTTTATGAGATATTGCTCCAAATGGTTGTGGTGAACGAGAATTCTATTTCTTCCAGTTTTTAGGGCCTTTGGTCAAGAAAGCCAAAACATTAGAATTTTTTCCCTAAAGTTTATTATTACATAATAGGTCGAGATATCTATAAGGAACCCTTGCATTCATAAGGTGTTGTAGAGTTTGCAAAGTGATTTTACCACCAATCATTTTGCCCAATGTCCTTCACAATCCTGTGAGACAGGCAAGGTTTATAATTAGGTAATTGTCTCTTTTTGTATAATGAGATGGCAGCATAAAAAGTTCAAAATGCAGGGCACCTGGGTGGCTTAGTTGGTTAAGTGGCTGCCTTTGGCTCGGGTCATGACCCCAGGATCCTGGGATGGAGTCCCATATCGGGCTCCCTGCTCAGTGGAGAGCCTGCTTCTCTCTCTCTCCTTCTGCCTGCCACTCTGCCTACTTGTACTCTCCATCTGTGTGTCAAATAAATAAAAAACTTTAAAGAAAAAGTTCAAATGCTTGCCTAAAGCTAAATTAATTGATAATATGTGTTAAGACTGAGCTAAAGGTCTCAAGATGAAAAAGACTCTTTCTTCTCTACTGTGGTATTAAGGAAATGATACATTTCATCGCATACAATTCATCCTATAAACTCTATCATTCCATCATCAAGACTTCTGGATTTAATTCTGTGACAATCAACACTAAAGTAATCATCTTAATGTCTAAAAATTTTGTTAAACTAAATAGCAGTTAAGGAATATTATTCATTGGTTGGGGCAGGCTATCTATTCACAATCTGTGTAAGGGTATTTATTTTAAGAAAATTTGACACACATGGTAAGGAACTAATTTTCAGTTCATACAAATTCTGCCAAAATTAAGTTTTATTTTACCACTTGGAAGGTAAGTTTCCTCCTCTTCCTCCGCCTATTTCTTCTTCTCCTTCCCTCCCTCCCACATGACCTCTTGTAACTTGTCAAGCTTCGTAAGTTTTGCACAACTTAACCTATCTTTTTACATTACTTTGCTGGACCTCAAGATAGCACAGCCAGGATTACAAAATTATTATTATTCCTCGTGCTGTCTTCCTCCAAGGTATGTTTCTTATATAGAATATTTGTTGGGCTGTTTTCAGTTTCAAATGAGTATAATTCATCAAGGGATCAACGTTCTCACTAGAGAACTAAAGTATATGCATTTTGAATGACTGCTTCTCAGAAGTTCTAAAGCATGTTTTCCTCTTCTTAAAAATTACTCCTTTTCATGCTGTCTCATTCCTCCCTGAACATCATTTTCAAAAGGACTCAATTTGGTAAGAATTTCTCTTTTTTCAGCTGTCCCCTGGGAGAGTCTTCTGTTGGTTCTTACTACCCAGGTCCCATCGCCATCCAGCTTCCTTCTCATCTTACCCTTCTTTCCTATGAACCACCCCCATGACTTTCTACAATTTTTATTTTCTCCTTAAATTATAGAGTTGGCTTCTTAGGTTTGTCACCAGAGAATCCTGCTTGCTATACAAGAATGAAAAGAAAATGTTAAAATTAATGCTGTTTCATTGTTTGAGCAATACTGTAAAATAACCAGATATTTTTGTCATCAAGCGTTATTTACTACAGCAATATTATATTTCCTCAACTCACTAGCATTTCTTTACCAAGGTATGGCACATTTTGCTTGAATCTCACATTGCTTTTCATAGGTTGTGCTTACTCCATTTTGGAGGAAGGAGCCCATATGAACTAGATCTGTTCTCGTAAGCTCCCTATAGTCTTTATACTTGGAGCAGTGGTTCCCAAACTACATTGAAATCATCTGGGTTGGAGACCCAGTCATTTGGATATTGTACCACTTATGAGGCTCATGTAGGAGGCAGAGAAACTGAAGTAGTGCCCAATTTCTCTAGGTCAAGGTAATTTCTCTAGGTCAAGGACAAAAGTCATTCAGCTGCTTCTCTAGTCTCAGAATCTGTTTGCTCTGCTAACTGAACTACCCTAATCAGATCAATAACATCCCTTATCTGCAGTGGGGCAGGTAAGAAATCCACTCCAAAGGGGCAGGTGAGTTGCTTTTCCCTCCTACATGCTGCCTGCTAATGTGAATCTTGGCATAATAGACACTACTTGGCAAAAAGGTAGGTGCATCAAAGTAAAAATCATGTTCTCAGTGGTTTCATTGATTTCTGACCAAGGCTTAGATTTTCCCCATTGACAGTCATTATGAAGTCACTGGGAAGAGGTGCCTTCCTATCTTTTGAAATCTTGAGGAGTGAAGATTGGAGAGAGCAGGGCAAGACCATTGACCATCAGGGTCCCTCTTAGTTCATGTCTCCCGCTTCTGTGGATCTATAGTAAACACAGTTCCCTGGAAGCCTCCATTCAGATCAAGACCAGAAAATAGGCACAAGCATATTCAAATTCATTCTTATCAATTATACATAACTTCCTTCTCTTGATTAGTATGCTAAGGATGAGAGGATGAGAATTTATCGTGGGAAAATAATTGGGTTGAAAGCTTATTTTCTCTAAGTCCATTCCTCATCCTCTGTTCTCCATGTCAGTCATCATGACAACCATTTGCACAATCTCTCAGATTTACAACCAAGCTTCCAGCTGATCTCTGTGCCTCCTGCCTGGAGTTCCTCCTGTGTCCACCTCACATCGCATCCAATATGATCCTTCCTAAGCTTGTCTCTGATTGCATCACTCTGCTGATTTAAATCTTGTGGTGGCTTTGCAGAGCTTTGTGGTTCCTCTCAAGTTCCCTAGCTTCTGTACATGGCCTGGTACCCCCACGTGCTTCTTTTGGCTCATCTTCCATTCCAGTCCCACCATTATCCTCTACTCTGGTCCGGCAAATTCTTTGCCTCTGTTCTCAAGAATTTCCCAGGTGTCATTCTTTTTACTTAAAACCTTCTCATTTTTTTTTTCTCTCTACCCATTGAATTCCCGTTCTTCAAGACCAAGCTCTTGAAAAGGACTCCTTCTGACTTCTTAGTAATGAAGATTTTTTTTTCTCTGTGTCTAAAGCCCCCTCAGCAGCTCTTTAACACCTGTAATAGGAGATTATATTTGCTGGTTCATGGCTCTGTGTCTTCCACTGGGTGGAAGTAGTAGAAAGCAATCAAATTTGCTTTTAGAATTCAAGAAGAAATTGAACAAGTCAATAAAGGAAATAGATACATGATGTAAAGAAATATCTGAAGTTTCCCAGGAAGGCAGACTTGCAAACGCACTTTCCCACAAACAATCTCTCATGGCTAAATATCTCCTTTTGCAATCTCATCTCCAATCTTTTCATACTGCTGAAACTGTACTTTTCAGGCCCAGCCTGCTGACTCTCCCCAGGACTCAAGGTGAGGCTCATTTCCCTCTGTAATAAACATCGATTGGGTATCATGTACTCTTGCTTAATCAAGTGATCTCATTTCCCTGAACCAATTAACTCAAAATTTCTGTCTCTTCTGATATGTTTTTCTCAATTAATTAGAAAAGAAAGTAAATTCCCATTAACACACCTGTGTCTAAACATGGAAATCCCTCAACCACAACTAGTTAACATCCCTGCCTCGGGATGCTGGTAGCACATTAAGCCTTGGGTGAGAGCTACAGAGTCTGATACCTGAGGGTGAGCCCCAATCTTCCTACTTGCCGGGTCACCTAGGGTGTGCTACCTTGGGCTCTTTTCGGGAGAGTTGTGGATTACAAGCCTCTTCCATGTGCAGTTTTGATAGTATGATGGGATGCGATCTGGAAAGCCTCTAAACCTTATC